GATAGAGCACAGCTAAGTCTTCCAGCCCCAAGGTTATGGGTCTTTTGGTATCTGGTCCTGGATTGCTGGGAAAGGCAGTCAGGGGTCCAGGTAGGGGATGAGGGAGCTCAGTGTCCACCAGCCTATTGGAAGCCAGGAATTCCCTGGCTGCCACTGATCATTCATCAAGGAACATCGAGATGGCAAGGGGCCTGCTCTCAGGGAACCGACATCCTAGAGGGGGAGACTAACAATAAGCAACCTAAAACTACTAGGTGTCATGAAGGAAATAAACAGCACTTTGAGAGAGAGAGTAGAGAGGTGGCTTTATTTTGGAAAATGTGACCTGAAGAAGTGAAATTTAAACTGAGAAGGAACTTGGCATTTAAAGAGCCAAAGGAGCCCTGGCCAGGTAGCTCAGTCGGTTAGAGCATCATCCCAATATGCCAAGGTTGCAGGTGTGATCCCCAGTCAGGGCACATGCGCAAATCAACCAATGAGCTCACAAGTAAGCAGAACAAGTCGATGTTTCTCTCTTTCTTCCTCCCCTCTCTCCCTGCTTCCTCTTTCCCTCTAAAGCCCAATATTAAAAACATTAAAGAGCCAAATGGGGTAGGGGGTAGCCAAAGGAAAGTAGAGGACACTGCTCGTACAAGGGTCCTGAGGTGGGACAGCTCAGAGTACCACTGAGGCAGCAGAAATGGGGGAGGTGTGGGGCAAGGGATGCAAAGTCCTCTGGGTAAGGAATGTAGCTGGTTCCAATTTCTGGTGTGTAAGAAACATAACTTGAACTTTCTCTAACAACTGAATTCCTATTTCTCCTCACTGAGCTAGAATAGCAGAAAATTATTTGTGGTAACTTCAAAGTCCCCTTCCCCACCCAACTTTCCTTGGAATTGGCTGAATTCTCGAACACTTCCTTTCATGATGCCAAAGCGTGGGGAGTGTAGTCCGATCTGGTGGTCATCCAGTCCCACGAGCACACACCGAGATGTCCCTGTTTTGTTCTGGCCTTTTGTTTCCGATCCACTCAGGTTGCATAGATCCGTGAGGGCTTCATTCCGGTGTTCTGCCTTCAGCCCACTCAGGTTGCTGTTGCACTGCCCCTACCAGACCAAAAGACCTCCTGACCTCTCCCTTCAGTGAGACCCATACCCCACCCTCGACGTTCAGATTTTTATCCTACTTTTCCCAAGCAAGTCAGGCCCCAATTCTTAGGTCTCAGGCTAGCTGGGCCCTGTTTGACCAAAGCAGCACACAGCTGTTTCTTCGTAGGGTTTTGTTACTTGTTGGCGCTCCACCAGGAAAAAGAGCACAACTTTCCCTGCTTTTCTGTCCCCGAGACCCAGCCGATCCCCGCCAGCTACAAGGCTGAGGAGGACCTTCTCTATTCTCAGGGACCACCACCCCCGAGTCAGTCTCCCAGATCCCCCTGTTACGCAGCTTTCTAAATTTGTATCTGCTTGGAAATTCTTTCCATTCCTCCCTGAAGGCTTAGGCCTGTAGAATTCAGAAGCTAAAAATGAACTCTGCCTTCTGCTGTATCACTTGTTTCCTGACGTAAGGAAGGCAGATTAACCTAACTATCTGCATACAGGAAAGGCCCGGGGAACATCAGGGAAAAGATAAAAAACCATTTCAAATGTCATCGCCTCATCAAAGTTTGGGTTCTGTGCTACTCACATGGTGGACTTCGTTCAAGCCGTCACGTACATCGGTGTGGGGGTCCTAACTGATGACCGAGTCCTCAGGAATTCTGAGTGCTCAGGTAGTATGGCACGTCCCCTCCCTCCCCTCCTGTTCCTGGAGAGAAGAGTGCAGGGGTCTCTCTCTCATTTGCGTGAGGGGACCACTGGAAGGGCCCTGAGGAGACGCAGATGGGCAGGCAGCTTGAACTTTACATCTCCTTGATCCAACATCTCCCCCTCTCAGCTGCATGGGACTCGAAGGGACTTGAAGGGGAACATCCAGTTCAGTGGTTGCCAGTCTGGCACCCCTGGCTGAAGGGTCCCTGAGGGCAGTAGGGGTCTCTCGTGTTCTTATCAAAGTTCCAGAAGGACCCAGAGAAATGGCACAGAGTGTGTGAAAAGTAACCAAGCTAGCCTGGTCTCTGCTGTGGGCTGGAATTATACCAACAGTATGGTGGTCACCCTGGCTTGCTTCTCCTGATCACAAGGTCTAATGCCTATGATACGAGGCTTTAACCAATAGAAAGGGAGAAATGACTTGACGCAGGTTGTACAGGAGACAAAATCTTACCAAAGGGGAGGCTCCTGCGGAGGGAAAAATACTAATGAGCTTTGATGGTGAGAAGGTTGGGAACAACTGGTCCTGCCGAACTGTCACTTTGAAGTGGAGGAAACAAGTCCAGCTTTCTCAGTGGGAAGGGGAAGGGACTCCTCGGGTTCCATGATTAAGTTAATGGCTGAATGGCAAGATGGTCATCCTCAGTAGCTACCGCCTATTGAGTCTCACTGTGTGCCAGGCCTTGTGCCAGGGCCCCACGTGCTCAGGAGGGCAGAGACGTAATCTCTTTGGTCCCACTGGATCCAGTATTTAGCTCAGTGCCCTGCACCTAGCAGGCCCTCCACAGATCTTTGTGGAATGGCAGAATCATCTCATTCCATCCTTATGACAACTCGGAAGGTATGTATTAATAGCCCCACTTTACAGATGTGGGAGCAGATCCACAGAGGTTAAGTGACCTGCTCAAGGTCGAAGAGCCAGTGAACAGTAGAGTGGGGATTTGAACTCAGGTTTCTATGACTCAAACTCCATGACACCACACTACACTATTCTGCTTCCTAGCACTTCCAACATCACACTGAAGACAGAGCAAGATGAGTAGTGCCCTGCTCATCTTAGTGGTGGTACCCAGCTACCAAGTATGGGCCTGGCACTCAAAACTTGCCATACCCACCCAGGCCTGAGGGCTTGGCCACAAAGAGGAGCCAGAAGCCAGCCAGTGAGAGGGGTCTGAGTAAGCTTATCAGGGTGGAAGGTCTCTTCCTCTCCTGTGATAGGCAGACCTACCTATACCTCATCGAACTACCATTTCATGCTATTGTGACAGGCGTCACTTTGTTTTGGCAGCGATGTCTGCCAGTATGCCCAGAGCTGGAGAGCCAGCAGGAAAGTATGTCACCGGGTGTGTGCGTATGTCTCATGTTGGTGTCCTGATGACAGTTTTTCATTTCCTCTGGCTGGCACCTTTAGTTTCCATTCATTACCTCTTCTCCTCCCCTCTTTCTCTTCCTCCTCCTCTCCTTTGTTAAAATCCTATATTTTGAATCAGTTGAGTGTCTCCTGGGGGTGGGGATGGTGGTGTCAGCTTCTAGTGACTCATCTAGTTGATAATTAGAGCTCTGGAAAACCCAAAACTCATTCCTGTCAGAGTCAGGGCTTCCGGAATCCCTAGGCTTTTCCCTTTGTCAGAGAGGAGGGCTGTGGGGGCAGGGCCCTGACTTCTTTGTGCCTGACTTTCTGTCATCCGCTTCATCAGAGCTCTGTAACTGAGGTTGACGTGAGCTCTCTTACTTGCCAGGTCCTGTGTGAAGCTTTTGCACACTCACTGAATCCTCCCAGTGATCCCACGAAGTGTTATCCCAATTTTGACACATGGGGCAGGCTAAGGAACTTACACTTGTCACTCAGCTTGTAAGGAACACAGTAAGGATTCAAATCGAAACTTTTCAGAATCTGCTGAAGTTGGTCCAGATCATAGTCCTGCCATTATAAGCTATGTGTCTTTGGAAAGGTTACTTCCCATTTCAGAAATCTAGATTTTTTCATCTGTAAACAGACTTCTAACCCAACGTCTCTAAAGTGCTTAACACAGGGTGTGATACATCAGTAGGAGCTGTTTTGATTGCTATTGTTATTCAGCCCCATCAGCTAAGTGGCCACCAGGCATTCAGATAGACAAAGAGATGACAAAGGAGAAGGCAGCTAAGACACACACACCAACTCTCATGCCCTGGCACTGCCTGTGTGGAGATGACAAACGCACATACTTGTAAGTGCCTGGCCACACGCCCTAGTAAAACCCAGCAGTGCACACAGGCTTAGACACGAGTGCCCGCATGGGTACAGAGTGACTCAGGGGACAGCTGGCAAGACACCGGGATTCAGGCAGTCATCTGCAGCAAGCACCGCAGCTCACACCTCTGAGACAAAGAAGTGACGGCCACGGTCGCTGGTGCTGCTGCCACTGAGCCCTTTTAGCTGCTTCTGCATGCCAGGGGAGGAAAGCCAGGCTCTCGCAGGGCCCCAGTGAGTCAACAGCCTGATGCAATCAATCCCTTTAAAGGGCTCATCTGATGGTGCAAGAAGCTGATTCATGGAGGGCGTGGTTGCTGGAGGAGGAGGAGAAAGGGACCGAAACTGCAACAGGAGGGACTGAGGTTAGGTGGCTAGAATCGTTAATAGAACTCTTCACTGTGAACTTCCCTCGTCAAGACTCCGGGGATCTTCGGGTTGAAGCGGGTTTTCAATAAAAGCGAGGGGCCCAGAGGGAAATGCATTGTGAGGGCTACGACAGGAATTCCTGTAATTTATTGAGTCTAGCGGCAGCGTTCTCCACACAGAACTCCAGAAACCGATAAATGGGGATCAAAGAAGAACCATTTTTCTGATAAATGCTCTACAACTGGCCGATCTTACAATTGCTGGAGACTTCACCAAACTCGGCAAGGAGAAACTGTAGGGACCGAGGTGCTGTGGAGTTGGAGCGGAGGTGCTGCCTCCAGCCCAGGCTCTCCGCAGGCTTGGGGGGGGGAAAAAAAAAAGGTAAGTACCGCTCCTTTAGAGTCTCAGCCTCCAATCGTTTCACAGGACCCCACCCTGAACCAATCCGCAATCGAAATCTGGCCTCTTGCCTGAAGGCTTCCGCCCATCGTCAAGATGGTGCCCAATCCCAATGCCGAGAGGCCGTAGACACGGCCGAGGGGCGGGGTCCTGGGAGGGGCGGGGCGGAGGCTCAATCCAGGAGGCGGGGGCGGTGCGTCACTTCCGTTGTCAGGTGGCGGTGCCGCAGCCATGGAGGGAGGCAGCGGCGGCGGCTGCGGCTCGGGTGGCTGCGCTGGGAGGCGGCGGTGAGCGGCTCTCACGCCCCCGGCCTGGCCCCGGCCCCCCGGGACGGAGCTCCGAGCAGTCCCGGCTCCGGGCTACAGACTATGGGCGAGCAGCGCTGAACACCGGGGGAAGGTGAGGGCGGGGGGTCCGGGAGCAGGGAACCGGGCGGGGGTGCGGGTTCTGGGCGGGCCTCAGCGGCGGAGGGAATGGGACCGTGGTGACAGTCCAAGGCCGTCCGTCTGTGATAGAAATGGCAACAGCAAATGCCCCCTCTTCTATTGGTGTCTGCTGTTCCCGGGCGGCGGGGGCGGGAGCTGCTGCGCGCCGGAGATGGGGGGCCATGGGGAGCCTCAGTCCCGCGGAAGCCCTAGGAGGTGGGCACTGACTGCCAGCCTTGCCTGGAGTCATTGCACCAGCAAGTGAAGGCACTGGCGTTTGAGCCAGCTAGATTTTTCCCAAGAGACACCCTCTGCCTCTCCTTGCTTCCCTCCTGATCCGAGAGTGACTTGAAAGTTAGGAAGAATCCCCAGGGAGGGCCAGCCAGTGCTTCCAACAGGAGCCCTCGCCATTGGCACGGGCATCATCGCTGCTGGGGAATTTCGCTTCCCGGGCGGCGTTCTGGTGTGGGAAGAGCTACCTGCTTGCCAGTGCTGCGTTTCTGTCGGCCTTTTCCAAGGAGAAAGCCTGCTGCTGTGGTCACTGTTTCACCTGTCTTGCCGGGTAGGGCCCGCCCATTCCTACGTCACTTGGCCTTACCTTCCAGCCAGTAGGCAGGGGTGTTGGGATTACCCCCACTCCCTAGGTTTGATGCCGTTTGTTGGCGGAAGGAAGAGATGACAGCCGCCTTATGTGGCAGGATAGACTTTGCTCTGTCTTAAGTCACGGGAGGAAACCGGTTGGCTTTGCTTGGTTTTGAGAGCAGTGGGGAAGAGGGTAGTCACTCTGGGCTGGGTGCCTTTCCTTCTTGCCTTAGTGCTCATGAGATAAGGAAGAACAGAGTATGTAACTGTAAGGCCAAACTAAAACAGTGTTTGTGAGCTGCTCCAGTGCTCTAATGGCCCAGCTGTGCCAGATGTTTATGGTTTAGACCTAGACAGTCTAGAGATAGCCCTCATTCATTCATTCATTCATTCATTCCCCACATGACAACAACAGCATCTTTGCCTGGAGAGACAAGTACCTATATTAGAGTGGTTAAGAGAGGGTTTTGACTCTGGCTGGTTGGCTTAGTCTGTTGGAGCATCATCCCATATAACAAAAGGTTAGGGGTTCAATTTCTAGTCAGGGCACATACCTGGATTGTGAGTTCAATCCCTGTTTGAGGCTCATGGGAGGCAGCCAGTTGATGTTTCCCTCTCATATCCATGTTTCTCCCTTCCTTCCTCTCTCTCTAAAATCAATAAACATACTTTAAAAAAAAAAGTGGGCTTTGGAGTCAGATTTCCTAAATTCAGATTCTGGCTCTGTAGCTTTCTAGCTGTGTGACCTTGGGCACATTGTTGAACCTCTCTTTCACTGTTTTCATCTCTAAAACAGAAGTGGTAAGGTAGAGACATAGTGAAGATTTTAAAAGTTAATACATGTAAAACACATAGGACTATGTCTACCACATAAGAAGAGTCCAGTAAATGCTAACTGTTATTCTTCTTTCAAGAAGCTCATGGTCTGGTAAAGGGAAACTGACCTGTAAACAAATAGTTGAAGTGTGGTCTTAAAAAGCTAGTAGCAGCAAGAACAGAGGACTGTGGGAGCCCAGCGGAGGAAGCTGCTGGCTCAATCTGTAGGGGAAGGGTCCTGGGAAGGTTTGGCCTAAGTGATGACATGGGAGCTGCATCTAGAAGGATGGGAAGGCTTAGCTAGATGAGAGTGAAGGAGCAAGGTGTTCTATGTGGAGAGAGACAAGTAAACTCATAGTTTGTTCCAGGAACTTCAGATTGTTCCATATGGTGGTACAAAAGTCAACATGCTGCAAGGTAAGGCAGTGTAGGTTGACAAGGGAACGCCACCTTAACAATTTGGGACTTTATGCCAAGGGCAGTTGGGGGGCCAGTGAAAAGGTTTTCAGCAGAAGAGTGTCATGATTGGATCTAGTTATAGAAGTGTCTCCCTTGCAGAAGAGGGAAGGAAGAAGAGAGACTAAAGAAGTACTGGAGACCTGTTAGAGGCCTGTGCAGGCCTCTAAGTCAGGAGAATTGGTGCTGGGGTGGTGGGTCTTTGCTGAGAAAGCACTGTATGCAGTCGGCAGGTGACAAGCTCCCTGCGTTTCACCGGGCAGCTCTGCTTAGCACGGAAGTGCCTGGCACATGTGCCCCATCCTGTTGGGATTGCAGGTTGCTTGAGTGGCTGGAGAGGTGAGGCTGCCCTCTCAGAAGGCCAGTTGCAGGGGGTTCTACATTGGTTCCCTTGTGCCTTTAATTTGACCTTTTGGGAAGGCAACAGCTTTAAGTGGTTAAGGGCCATCTGGGCTCTGCCATCAGATCTGGGTTCTAATCCCTCCCTGGCCGGTCTATAGAGCTCTAGAGGTTACTTATTCTCTCCATGCTCAGCTTTCTCATCTGTGAAATGGGGACAGTCAGACCCCGCTCCCTAGTATGGCAGTCGTGAGGGTTAAGTAATGTGGCATGTTGAGCATCTAACACACACTGAGTATTAGCTATTATTATAGGCCGCAGGAAAGAACTTCCAAGAACTAGTTGATGCAGTTAGTGGCAACTAGAACTGTGTCCCATGGAGTGGTCAGAAGTGTCCTAAGGGATCACAGAATCATAGAATTTATCGTGTTCTTTCTGAAAAGGAAATCTGGGGGCAGTTTACCCAGTCTGTGTAGGAGCCATTCAGATGGTTCAGCCTGGCTCTTTAAAAGCAGCATTTTTAAAAATAGAAGTAGAAACACTGAGGAAAAACATGTATTTTAAAGTATGAGAAAAGGCAGCATTTCTTCCATGTGTGTCCCTGTTACTGACCCTAGTCCAACGTCTGAATTAGCATTAACAAGAAATGTCTCACACACTGGTGTGTCGGGCGGCTCAAGATCCAGAACCCAAGTTCCACACACAGACGAGCTCCTGTGTGCTGCTGGGTGGGGAGAGGTGGGTAGGGTTAGGAGGGGGCAGAGGGGGACAGCAGGAGAGTAGAGAGGCTGGTAGGAGGGACAGGTTGAGCTCCTAACCAATAAACACGAGCATAGAGTTTGGAAGTCTCTCACAGAAGTCTGTGCAGCATGCAGTGGGAACCCAGAGGACTCCCCAGGGGACGAGGAGAAGATTGGGGAGAGCTGGAGAGTTTAAACTGGATCTTGGAGGCTGAGTAGAGTTTTCTGAGGGCTCATGAAGCACTGCAGGCAGGGGAGTGCATGCCACAGGCCTGGCTGTGTGCTGGTGAGTGTGCGCTTTAGGAGCCACGGAGGTTCTAGCACAGGGCGTGAAGGCACCTGGCTGTGGGGCGTGCTGGAGAAGTAGGCACCAGTGCTACAATGCTTGACCTAATGATTCTCTTGGTGATGGGATGATTTAAGAGGAGGGAATATTAGACCTGCCTCTTTCAAGAGCACTCTGACTGTGGGTGGAGGGTGGATGGGGGAGAGAACAAGTCTGGAGTCCCCGCAGGAAGCTGTTGCAATAATCAAAGCAAGGGCTACTGGGGACCTGGATCGGGGCAGAGAACGGGCTGTGCTGAGGGGAATCAACTAACTGGATTCTGGTAGTGTTTGGAAGTGATGGCTAAGGGAGGGGCAGTGGCAGCAGGTGACCTTGAGTCTCCTGGTTTGAGTGACAGAGTGAATGATAGTGCAGAGATAGGACGGCTTGGGAGAAGACAGTGACCAGTGACATAGGCCAGCTCCACTCAGTGTGCCCTGCACGCACTCACGGGACCGGAGCAGTTGTGAAGTCTGTGGCACCCTGTCTGGCCCCGGGACAGGCTTCCCTCTGGTTTTGCCTGAGTCGGTGCCTGAGAGAAGGACAGCTCCCCTTTGTTCACCTTTCCTCGGGCCAGGTTTGCCCAGGGGGTGAACTGCTTCAGTGTTTCAGAAACTCCCCTGATTTCTTCAGCCTTCAAATGGCCATAAAGAACAGCCCTCCAGTCTGAGGCGGTCCACAGTCATGCAGCAAGTGACACACTGATGGGATCTTGCACAGCAGCTGCCCTCGGGAGAGATGGCTCCGCCCCCTGCCCCCCGCCCCGCCCCCGCCCCGAGATCTTATCTAGAAAGAAGCCCTGAGGTTGCAGTTACTCCAGAGGCTGGGTCAGCAGGCTCAGTCCCTCTTCTCTGGAAGGGGAGGTGTCGGCCAGAGGCTACCTAGGACCCACTCAGAACCACAGGGGAAGTGCCTCTGTCCTCCGGAGCTCAAGTGGAGTGCAGAGCTAGGCCTGAATGGGGTTGGCCCGGGGAGAGGGAGGTGCTGTTGGCAAGGCTTCAGACAGGCCCCTTGAAAGTGCAGAGCTCTCCGCAGGGCTTATCCTTGTACTTGTGGTGTGGAAAAGAACGGGGCCTGAATTAGGAGCATTTCTTTCTCCTCTACCTGCTCAGAGGAGGCTATGGCTTTGAAGGTCTCTTGGCCCCACAGCAGCCCTGTATATCCTCTCAGGTCGGCAATCAAAAGACCCCCAAAGGGAAAGGTATGCTATTGCTTGCCGTGGTTTACTTGCTATCCTAGAGATGGCTCCACTTCAGTGCGTGCGTGTCTGGATCACTTGGGGCTGCGCTGTGTCTTCATCTTGGGTGTCATTTATCCAACAAGTTCTCTTCTGATGTACTTAGGTGATGTTCTGTCTTTTGCTCTTCAAACAAAGCTGAAGTGACTATCTGTACACATGTGAGCTTAAGTATCTGCAGAATAAATTCTAGAAGAGGGGTTGCTCTTTCAAAAAGTATCTTTTATTATTATTATTTAAAGAATTTCCAAGCCCCCTTCTAATAAACTGAAGCAGCCTGCTTTTCGCCCAGCAAGCAAAAGTAATGTTTTGGGGCTGAGGTCCGCCTTCCTGAGGGGGCTACAGCCCAGGGGTGGTCATCCTCTTCTGGTAAATGGCAACCTGTCTTGGGTGTGATTTAGACCACCTAGCATGGCGGTATAGCAGTATACAGGCCTGGTGAGTCAAAGAAACTCCAGTTGTTAGAAAGCATGAGGTAG